GCAGCCAGAGCTGAGCTGCCTGGAGGCAAAGCTACTTCTTATAAAAGGCTGGCGCAAAGCATTTTTGTTCCCAGACACTTACACTAGGTTTAGGTGGAGGGAGGGAGGTACGGACTGGAGTCTCCTAAGGAGAGACAGTGGTGGAAGGAGTTGGGGAGAACGGCAGAGAAGGCTGCGGGGACCTGTGCTGAGTCATGCCCCTGATATCGCAGTGGCCATTCCTCCTGAGAGGCACAAACCCTCCTAACGTCTGGAACCTGTGCAAAGGCAAATACCCTAACCCTGGGATACAGCTCCCCCTCACCCTACGGAATCCCGCTTGCGCCACCCCGCACCATAAACCTAGCTGAGGAGGCAGCCCCAGGAAGCAGCAGTCTCAGTGAGTGTCAGTCTGGCTGTGGGGTGCACACATCCCCCACATTTCCTGGAACCTGGCTGGTATTACTCTCTCATAGGAGAGCTGACAGAAACTCCTGGCTTCCAGCAGACCCAACAGGACTGCCTAAGAGGGATTCTGGTTAGCTGAGGACAGAGAAATAGTCTGGTTACATATCCTCCACCTGCCTTGGGGTCCGTGCTGCTAAAAAGCCAACCTAAGAGCTCAACTTGGCCCCTACCTTGGGAAGACAAGGCCAGTGAAAGCAGCCACAAGCTGTGAATCACTTAAAGCTTCTAACAGGCCTCCGAGAGCCAAAGTTGGACAGCTTTTGACATTGGCTGGTACAAAAGTACCTCCTGGAGGCCCTAAAACAGCCTCACACAACATAAGAGCAGGAGGATCCAAAGTGAAATCCTAGCAGGCACTAAAATCTGCTGAACCAAACTTTACTTGGTTGTTTTTGGGGGGATTTCTTCTTTTTTCCTCAAAATTTTATTTTTTATTGCTTTGATCAGGAGGAATCAAAAAACCTGTAAGCTGATAACAACTAATGAAATTGAAGCAGTTAAAAAAAAAAAAAACTCCAGGAAAATAAAAGTCTTGGACAATGTGGATTTACAGGCAAGTTTTACTAAACATTCAAAGAAGGACTAATCTTTCATCCTCAAACTATTCAAAAAAAATTCAAGAAAAGGGAAGGCTTCCAAGTCCTTTTTATGAGGCCAGCATTATCCTATTTCCAATACCACATAAAAACACTACAAAGAAGGAAAATTATAGGTCAATAGCCCTGATGAACATAGATGCTAAAATCCTCAGGAAAATATTAGCAAATTGGATCCAGTAATACATTGAAAAGATCATAGCCCTGGCTGGTTTGGCTCAGTGGTTTGAGCGTCAGCCTGTGGACCAGAGAGTCTGGGGTTCGGTTCCCGCTAAGGGCATGCACCAAAAAAAAAAAAAAAAAAAAAAGATCATACACCTTGACCAAGGGTGATTTACTTCTGGGATACATGGCTGGTATATTATTCACAAATCAATAAATGTGATACATCATATAAACAAAATGAAGTATAAAAATCACATGATTATATCAATAGACAGAAAAAGCATTTGACAAAATCCAGCACCCATTTCTTTTTTCTTTTTCTTTTTCTTTTTTTTTTTTTGTGGTACATGCCCCTAGCAGGAATCAAACCTGGGACTCTCTGGTTCGCAGGCCAACATTCAACCGCTGAGCCAAACTGGCCAGGGCCCAGCACCCATTTTTTTTATAAAAACTCTCACCAAAGTGGGAATAGAAGGAACATACCTCAACATAATAAAGACCATATATGACAAGTCCACAGCCAACATCATACTCAATGATTTGGAATAGGAAAGAGACAAGGTTGTCCACTTTCACCACTCTTATTCAACATAGTATTGGAAACCCTAGCCACAGTGATCAGACAAGAAGAAAAAATAAAAGGTACCCAAATTGGAAAGGAGGAAGTAAAACTATCATTATTCGCAGATGGCACGATATTGTACACAGAACACCTGAAAGACTCCATGAAAAAAATTGTTAGATTTAATAAATGAATTTGGCAAAGTAGCAGAATACAAAAATAAGATCCACGTATCAGTGGAATTTCTATACACCAATAATGAACATTCAAAAAAATCCCATTTAGCCCTGGCCGGTTTGGCTCAGCGGTTAGAGCGTCCGCCTGAGGTCCAGAGAGACTCAGGTTCGGTTCCCGCTAAGGGCACGTACCTCGGTTGCAGTTTGTCCCCGGCCCTGGTTGGTCGTGCGGGTGGCAGCCACTCGATGTGTCCCTTTCACATCGATGTTTCCCTCTCGCTCTCTCTTCCTCTCTCTCCCTCCCACTCTATCTGTACAAAAAAATGGAAAAATGTCCTCGGGTGAGGATAAAAAAAAATCCCATTTACCATTACAAGAAAAAAAAAGATACTTCTGGGAATATACCTTAAGAATCATGAAACACTGGTCCAAAAGAGTATATGCACCCCTATGTTCATAGCAGCACTGTTTACAATAGCCAAGATCTAGAAACAGCCCAAGGGCCCGTCAGTAGATGAGTGGATAAAAAAGCTGTGGTACATTTACACAATGAAATAGTATGTGGCCGTAAAACGAAGGATCTCTTACCATTTGAGACAGCATAGAAGAACCTGGAGATTATTATGTTAAGTGATATAAGCCAGTCAGAGGAAGACAAGTACCATATGATGTCCCTTATATGTGGAATCTAATGAACAAAATAAACTGATGAACAAAATAGAACCAGAGGCATGCACACATAGTACAGGCTGACATATGTCAGAGGGGAGGGTGATTGTGGGCCTGGTTGAAAATGGTGAAGACATTAAGCAAAAAAAAATTCAGACAATAGCATGATAATTACCAGAGGTAAAGGGGGTGGGGGAAGGTAGAAGAGGATAAAGGGGGAATAAATGGTGATGGAAGGAGACTGGACTTGGAGTGGTGAACTCACAATACCATATACAGATAATGTATTATAGAATTGTACACCTGAAATCTGTATAATTTTATTAATTAGTGTTGCCTCAATAAATTCAATTAAATAAAAAAACAACAACAACAAAGAATCTGCTGTACAAATTGTGAACCATAAGAACTTGTGTTAGAGAAAAGCACAGTTTTCTAATAGCTGAATTTGTTAGTAGAATGGATAATAAAGGAAGGTTGTGGAATCTGTTTCAATGGAGTTTTAAAAACCCTCATATATCTGGGATAGCACAGTGGTCTTGCTAAAACTAAAGGCAGTTTATAGTCTATGATTTCACAATTTATGTTAGGAAGCTGTTGAATTTATCGGATAACAAGATGGCATCTAATTGCAACACAGTTCTCAGATGTATTTGTCCAAAGGTCAGACATAGCATTATATTGGACAGAATCCTGAATTTGGAATCAGAATACCTTACTTTAAATTCAAGTTCTGTCTCTTGCTATGTAATGTTGGATAAGTTATTTAACATTTTAAAGTCTCGGTTTCCTCAATTATAAAATGGGAATGGTATTAATAATGATGCCTACAGAACCTGACCGTTGTGGGAGACCAAAATATGAAAAAAATACATGAAAGTACTTTGTAAATTATAAAATTGTATACCTTTTTATGATTGAATATCTTTGATCAAGTCTGGGATTGAAAACTAACTCAAGAAAATAACTTCATAATGTAGTGACCTGAAGACTGATTTCTATTAGTTAGGGTTTTTTATTTTATTATTTTTTTAATCCTCACCCGAGGACATTTTTGCATTTATCTTCAGATAGAGCGGGAGGGAGAGAGGGAGGAAGCGTGAGAGAGAAACATCAATGTGAGAGAGACACATCGACTGGTTAACACCTGCACAACCCAACCAGGGCCGGGGACAAACTGCAACTGAGGTGCGTGCCCTTAGCGGAAACCGAACCCGGGTCTCTCTGGTCCACAGGCCGACGCTCTAACCACTGAGCCAAGCCAGCCAGGGCTAGTTTGGGTTTTTTAGTACCAAAATAAAAATTATTACCTTTACTAGTAACTGATATAAGTAAAAGTCTGTTATAAAATGACTGATAGCTGAAGGAAGGTAAGGCAAAATACAGTCAGAAGGTAAAGGAGTTTCTTATGTTACAAGTTCTTTGGGCTGGGCAAGAACTCTTCCCTCCTGTAAATATGGATTTTGGACTGTTTTGCCTTCCTGAGACTTACCAACATGACTCACTCTAAAACTGGACTTCCAGGTACAGAATCTGGGTGAACATTTAGAAAGGCTTGTTTCCCAACTCTGCTCCCCACCTTAATGAGCCTCAAGTTATTACTGAACATTTCTGTCAGCTACTGTATGATTGGGACCAGCCACTAAAAGTTACTCTCTGAAGCCTGTTATTAGTAACATAAACAAATGTTGGAGACACACTAGTAAGCACAGCATTACGCGAAGACAAAGAATAGGTGGCAAATGGGGGTTGCATGGCATGAGAGCTTAACTTTCTTTCGGCTCTTCACAAAAATATCTCAGAATTACCCAATAATCTGGTGGGAAAAGAGTGAAAGGGCAAAGTTCTGCTTCCTTATTTTTACTTTGCTCCTCTGCTTTTTAGAAAGGTAGGCTGCATGCTGTGTAGCCTTGCCTGCAATGCTTTTAGTTTTTCATGTATTTAAACCATTATAAAAGAGAATGCGAATGACATTTTAGAGAAAATGTAACCACTGTGAATGAATCAGGGTAGAGAAAGGTACACTGCTGCAGCAGATTGAATGAACTCAAGCAAAGGACAATGAGTGACCAACTGGCAAACTTGTTTACAAAAATTCACAACACTCTTGATTATATTTTCTGATTTACCTGACTGGTTATTAATTATGGGATCACAAAGCTGGTAATGAACCTCCCAAGCTACCATCTAATCCTACCTAAACCACTCATGTTTGCTAAACAAATACCTGTCCTTCTCCATTCAAATGGCACTTACGAGGTTGACATGTTATATAATCTCTCTGGACATAATTTTCTCACTACACTACATTGGTTGTGTGAACATGGTCTTTATTAGTGCTTGGTCTGCAGGGTGGAGAAGAGAATTCCTTTCTTTTGAGCTTACCTCGGCTGTCATCATCATTGTCTTCCCAGGGATCTTCATTTGCTAGCAGTGGATTCTGTGATTCATTCATAGACCTCATAGGGAACGAGTGTCCATCACCAGGGCTAGTGGGGAAAGGAAGGCAGTGAGCTCTTACAGCTAACATAGATGTTTTTGTAAGGTAATAAATAACTGTATTAGAAATAAGAAGGAAATTCTCAGCAAGATTTAAACCATTTAGATTATTGGTTAGAGCCACAATAGAACAGAATCTTACAACAGCATCATTTAGTTGCTCTATTGCTTTCAATTTCTGTGTCTTGTTCATTTTTTTTTTTTGCATCAATGTTGACTGAGCATTGTGAGAAACAAGTTAAAGAGTTGCTTACAAACAAAAACATCTTATGTGTGCATAAAATGCTTCAGCCCTGGCCAGTTTGGCTCAGCGGTTAAGAGTGTCGGCCTGCGGTCCAGAGAGACCCGGGTTCGGTTCCCGCTAAGGGCACGTACTTCAGTTGTAGTTTGTCCCCGGCCCTGGTTGGTCGTGCGGGTGGCAGCCACTCGATGTGTCCCTTCACGTCGATATTTCTCTCTCTCTCTCCCTTCCTCTCTCTCCCTCCCATTCTATCTGTACAAAAAATGGAAAAATATCCTCGGGTGAGGATTAAAAAATAAATAAATAAATAAAAATAAAATGCTTCATAAATATCATTTAATGCTGATGATCCCAATTTATATCCCACTATTTTATTGCTTCTAAATTTTCAAACAGGATTAGCAGATTCAGAATCATTGAATACAGTGGAGATAAATTGCTGTGAATTGGTGATAGATAATAATGTCTGAATGTCTCACTGTTTGGTTTGTATGACAGAAAGGTTATCAGAAATTGGAAAAGAGAGCCTGAGTGAGGCATTCCTAAGAGTGTAGATTCTGGGTGCAATATCTGCATGTGGAATCCACTTTATGAATATTTATGTTAACCTAGGACCACCTCCCAGGTTAATTTCTGGCCACCAACAGATGGAATGCATTGGAAGAAACTGAGCTGGCTCTGGCTAAAGTAGGGTACAATTTGAACATTTGATTTTATATATCTGAATGTATTCCAAATTTGTAGGAGTGACTTTTGCATTATTCATTTGATATTATCTATGCATTTTATCCTGTTCAAAAATGTGTTTTACTGAAACTTAACAGACTTCTTGATCCTCTATTCGCTTTCTAATTGGCTTAAAAAATTTTTTTTCTTTATTGATTTTTGAGAAAGAGGAAGGGAGAGGGAGAGAGATACAAACATCAATGAGATAGAACATCGACTGGCCACTTCCTGCATGCCTCCCAATGGTGATTTGGCCCACAACCTGGGCATGTGCCCTGACTGGGAATCAAACTGGTGACCCTTTGGTTCATGGGTCTACACTCAGCCACTGAGCCACACTGGCTGGGCAGATTGTTTTGTGAATTTTGGATATGAACTCCTTATCAGATGTATCATTAGTGAATATCTTCTCCCATCCAGTAAGTTGCCTTTTAGTTTTGTTGATGGTTTCCCTTGTTGTGCAAAAACATTTTTGTATGATGCAATCCCATTTGTTAATCTTTTCCTTTGTTTCCCTTGCTTGAAGAGATATATTAGAAAAAATTATGCTATGATATATATCAGAAATTTTACTGCTGATATATTCTTCTAGGATTTTTATGGTTTTGTGACTTAGGTATAAGATTATATTGTTTATTGAGATTTTTATTGCTTCTTGAAGTAGGCCTGTAATGCTATGAATTTCCCTCTTAGGACAGCTTTCACTGTGTCCCATAGGTTTTGGGTTGTGTTCTCATTTTCATTTTTCTCAAGGTGTCTTTTGATTTCTTCCTTGATGTCATTGTTAACCTATTCACTGTTTAGTAACATGTTATTTAGCCTCCATGTAATTGTTTTCCAGTGTTCTTTATGTAATTAATTTGTAGTTTTATACCATTGTGATCAGAGAAGATGTTTGTTACAATTTCAATCTTCTCAAATTTATTGAGACTTGTTTTAATGCCTTACGTGTTGTCTATCCTGGAAAATGTTTCATGGATACTTGAAAAAAATGTATATTCTGTTGCATTGGAGTATAATGCTCTAAAAATATCAATTAAATCTATCTAGTTAAATGTGTCATTTAAGGCCTCTGTTTCTTATTGATTTTCTGCTGGATGATATTGATTGTTGTTAGCATGTCAGTGGGTGTGGCTGACTCTCAGGATGACTAGTTGTGAGAGCTGGTCAGGACCACAGGGTAAGAGCTGTTGTGTGGGGGTTGACCTCACGGAGTAGGATTTCCCCCATTGGTGCTCTAGTGTCTAGTGAGACCACCCCTTGGGCATGCTGTTTGTGAAGCTAATAGGGTGGTATTCTTTTGTGGTCTGAACCTGGTCACTGGGTGTGTTGGTTCTGTGGCCTCTTGAAAGGGGCTCTGGTGCAGGCCCAGTTCAGCCTTTATCTGTGTTCCACCTGGGGTGAACTGTTAGGAATCACAAAGTGATGCGTGATTGCTAGCTGCCTGTTGTGTGCCCAGAGTCACATGCGAGATGCCATGCTGCTTAACTAAGCCAGCTGCCACCAGTTCTAGGCCTTGGAGCATTCAGCAAGAGGCACAGGTAACACAGAGGCGAGCTGTTGCCTGCCTGGGGCCTGTGGACCTTTGAGAGTTTCTAGGAAAGTCTCCAGCATGGACTATGGCCCTCTGCCTGTAAGAAACAACACTGAAGGAGACTTGCGCTATGCTGGAGTTAGATGGGTGGGTAGGGTGGGGGTCATAGGGAGTCACCAGGGTGAGGTCAGGTATATTTACCAGGTTAATGCAGACTCTGATTTGGTGCCTGACTGTGAATACAGGTTGTATGGGAGTAGGACTCAGCATAGGAAAAACAGTGGCTGCCCCTACAGCTCTTGCCCTGAAGCCACACAACTAAGTTTCTCCCAGGTATGTCCCTGATGCCTTTTGAGCTACTGTCTCTTCACTCAGGCTCAGAGTAAGTTTTCGTAATTGAGTGAGTCTGTGCTTGGGCCCTTTAAGAAGATGCCTGGGTCTACAGCAACCCTCCATCTCACTCAGATGGAATCCACACTGATTTTCACAGCCAGATGATGTAGGTACTCCACTTCCCAGTGCTAGTGTTCTGATCTGGGGTGTGCAGTGTGGGGCTGAGACCTACTGCTCCTCAGGGGGAACCTCCACAGGGGAGCTATCCCTCCCAGTTCTTTTTTTTTTTTTTTTTATCCTCACCCGAGGATATTTTTCCATTTTTTGTACAGATAGAGTGGGAGGAAGATTGAGGAAGGGAGAGAGAGAGAAACATCGACGTGAAGGGACACATCCAGTGGCTGCCACCCGCACGACCAACCCGGGCCGGGGACAAACTGTAACCGAAGTACGTGCCCTTAGCGGGAACCGAACCCGGGTCTCTCCGGACCGCAGGCCGACGCTCTAACCGCTGAGCCAAACTGGCCAGGGCTCCCTCCCAGTTCTTTACCATGACTCATGGGTGTGGGACCTGCCCATTTCCAGTCTCCACACCTCCTACCAGTCTTGATATGGCTTCTTCTTTATATCCTTATTTATAGAGTTCTATTCAGCTAGTCATCAGATGATTCTCCAGGATGATTGTTCTATAATGTAGTTGTAATTTTAATGTAGTCATGGGAGCAAAAGACCACAGCATTTACTTATGGTTCTATCTTAACTGGAAGTCCTATTTGTGAATATTTTTAATTTTTTATCTTACAGATTTATTTTTTAAATATATCAGATTTAGCCTGGCAGGTGTGGCTCAGTGGTTGAGTATCGACCCATACACCAAAAGGTCATGGGTTCGGTTCCCAATCAGGGCACATGCCCAGGTTGTGTGCCAGATTCCCGGTGGGGGGCGTGCAGGAGGCAGACAGTGGATGTTCTTTCTCCTTGATGTTTCTATCTCTCTCTCCCTCTCCCTTCCTCTTTCTCTAAAAAAGAAATCAATAAAGAAAAAAAAAATATATATATATATATTAGCTTTAAATAAATATCAGAGTGCTCTCTAATAAATCAAAAAGTAAAAATGTATTCGTCACTATCCAGGTTGCTTAAAAACTAACACAAGTGAACCACATCTCACTGAAATGATATTACAGTGTACATACCATTTTGAATTCTACCTTTTTGTCACTTAAAATATAGTAAGCATTTCCCCTTATTGTGACACAGTCTTTATCACCATTACTTTTGACTGTATAATTTATATAGATATATACATTTCCATATTGTGACTTTAGGTTGTATCCTAATTATTGGCTGGAAATAATGTAGTGATAAACATTTTTGTGTCCAGTTTGTCTCTGTTCTTATAACAGATTCTCAGAAATGAAATTATTGGGACAAGGGATCTGTACATTTTTACGATTTTTAGGTACATATTGCCAAATTCATTTATAAAAGAGTTGTACCAGTTTACACTGCTACCAAAAAAGTATGAGAATGCCTATTTTATCATACCCTTACATCCTGATTTGTCTTTGCTAACTTAGAAATGAAAAACTTAGGGCCTGGCTGATGTGGCTCAGTGGTTGAGCATTGACCCACGCACCAAGAGGTCGCTGGTTCAATTCCCCGTCAGGGCACATGCCCAGGTTGTGGGCCCGATTCCCAGTGGGGGGCATGCAGGAGGCAGCCAATCGATGTTCTCTCTCATCAATGTTTCTCTCTCCCTCTCCCTTCCTCGCTCTCTAAAATCAACTTCTTTGATTTTACCTACCTGGACCCGATAGGTATTAACCAGAACTTCTTGTTGTCTCCAAACACCTGCTGGATATTTTTGATGAAGCCAAGGTTGAATCCATTTTTCTTTGGACCACTTGTAAACACTGGAGTACAGAAGGCCTCTGGGGCAGGGTGGGGGAGTTGAATAAAAGAGGAAGAAAGCAACAAAGGAATACTTTTCAGGACTTTCATGATTTTACAGTTCTCCATGAATGCAACTGGGTTCTATGATACATTTCTGCTATGGTAGCATAGGCCCTTCGTTCTTAATTACTTAGTAAAAACCATTTTAACCTCTTAATATAAAATAAGTTTGTTATTAAATACAAAAAATTGGTACTCTCTTTATAAAAGGGGGGGGCAGAAAGAAACACATGATGGTGGAAATAATTAAGCAGCCATGGGCATAGTATATATTTTGTACTGCTGCATGTAAGGAGTAAAATAATAAATTTAATAGCACTTAATTTGAATCTACTTGGCAACAACAGCCAAATAGTGTCCATCTTTAAAGCTGGACCAAAAATTACTCATAAAGAGATAGTAAGAACATTGATTTGTTTTTGAGACATTTCAGAAATGAAGATGTTCATGCTGAAGCCTGCACTGTAAGAAACTGAATTTTATTCCAGAAAATAATGCAAATGGGTGAACTATAATTACCTTAATGACTATGAGTTGAGTGGCTTTGTACTAAACTTTCCTCAATTTTATTTTACCTAAATATTCAACATTTTGACCCTTTCTCCTCACTCATCATGAATTATTTGTATACAATATAAATATTTCTTTTACCATAGAAGACAACATTGTTGCACTGAAATTCATCACAAATATAGTTCTCCAAATAACAGCCCAGAGTATAGAGGAATGAAACTTTTTTCCTGTTTATAGACCCTTACTTCAAACTTCTAGCATTCCCTTCTGCACTGATTCTTTCCTTCACTTCTGCATGTGAACACTTTTTTCAAAATTTTCAAGCTGTAAATCTGGAGAGCTATCCCCGAAACTGAACTGTAAGGAACAATGGTCATGTTGGCTTTGCATGAGGTTTCATTCACTAGTGCTCTCTTCCCCGTGTGAGCTTCAGTCACATGGCTCTCTAGTTTGGTGAAACTGGTTTACATTTGTCTCAGTTTAAAGGCAAAGGAATGTCACTGCAGCTAAAATGCTTCACTGAAAGGTTTTCTCTTTCTTGGGAACAATCCACAGGTTACTGTGACATACATTAATATTTTTTTCCTAGTCTTAATATCCAGTCTTACCTAAGGTGGTTTTGTTTCTGCTGACAAGCCAACAATGGTAACCAAAGAGAATCACAAGGCTGACAAAAAACATGCAGGCCACAAAGAGGAGAAAAAGGACATGGAACTTAGAGCGAACACTGGGCAATTCCCCCTAGAAAAGAAATAATAAACAGAAACAAGATTAAAGTGGCAAGGCTTGAATAGTTTTTCTATATAGGTTAATAATTTTTTAAAATATTTAAAATGTCTAGGTGTAATTTAAAAAATAAGTTTTGTCGCCCTGGCCGGTTTGGCTCAGCGGTTGGGGCGTGGGCCTGTGGTCCGGAGAGGCCCGGGTTCGGTTCCCGCTAAGGGCATGTACCTTGGTTGCATTTGTCCCCGGCCCTGGTTGGGTTGTGCAGGTGGCAGCCACTCGATGTGTCCCTTTCACATCGATGTTTCTTTCTCTCTCTTTCCCTCCCCACTCTATCTGAATAAAAAATGAAAAAATGTCCTCGTGTGAGGATTAAAAAAAAAAAAAAAAAAATAAGTTTTGTAAAATTTTTAAAAAATACAGTTCTTTCTTTTGATAACCATGGATTCAAGCTTAAGTATAGGTCAGTGTAAAACACAGTATGTACTGTTTCAACCAGAAAAAGGTAATGTGAAAAGGGTATGGTCAGTCCATAATTGGGATGTAATGTCTTAGTTTTAAAATTAGTTTCAAAACATCTGTAACAAAAATAAATTAATTAATTTAAATAAATAAATAAATGAAATGAAAAAAATAAAATAAAATTAGTTTCAACATTATGAATCATTGACTAGAGGAAATTTTGAGATCATATGGTTTATCCTTTTATCTCAAGATATGTTATGCTGGAATACTTAAAAAAATTTGTTTTTCTTTATTGATTTTTAGACAGAGAGGAAGGGAGAGGGAGAGAGAGAGAAAAACATCGATGAGAGAGAACACTAATTGACCACCTTCTACATGCCCCTCCACTGGGGATCAGGCCCACAACCTGGACATGTGCCCTGACCAGGAATCGAACCAGTGACCCCTGAATGCATGGGTCGATGCTCAACCACTGAGCCACACCAGCTGGGCAATTCTGGCATACTTTATATGTCATGTTTCCTTGGACAAATAAGTGTATTGAAAATGTCATAATGATATATATAGGAAGTTAAAACACATAGATAGAATTTTAAAATGTTCTGCCCATGAGCCATGAAATGATTTTTAAAAAAATACGTTTCTATTGATTTTTTTTTAAGAGCGAGAGAGGAAGAGAGAGAGAGGTAGAAACATCAGTGTGAGAGAGATACATCAGTGGGCCACCTCCTGCATGCCCTCTACTGGGGATCGAGCCTGCAACCTGGGCATGTGCCCTGATGGGAATCAAACCAGGACCTCTCAGTTCATGGGATAACCCTCAACCCACAGAGCCATACTGGCTGGGCCACAGACTGATTTTAAAGCTACTGCAAATTTTGTGTGGTTGATATTTTTTTATAGCTGAAGTACAATATGCTGATATACTACATCCCATAAAATTATTGTTTAGACAGTAAAAATCAAGCAGTATTTGACAGGTTAATTTAAAAGCAGGTTGGTAAAGATTTTTATAGTTAGTTAGGGCATCTTATTTTCCATGTGGCACCAGTTTTTAAAAAAAATATGCAGCCCTAGCCCTGGCTGGTTTTGCTTAGCAGTTAGAGCAACAGCCTGAGGACTGAAGGGTCATGGGTTTGAGTCCAGTCAGGGGCATGTACCTGGGTTGCAGGTTTGATCCCTGGCCCCAGTCAGGGTCATTTGGGAGGCAGCCAGTCGGTGTGTCTCTCTCACATCAATGTTTCTCTCTCTCTCACTCTCTACTCTCCATAAAAATCAATGGCGCCCTGGCTGGTTTGGCTCAGCGGTTGGAGCGTCGGCCTGCGGTACAGAGAGGCCTGGGTTTGGTTCCCGCTAAGGGCACGTACCTCGGTTGCAGTTTGTCCCCGGCCCTGGTTGGTCGTGCGGGTGGTGGCCACTCGATGTGTCCCTTCACGTCGATGTTTCTCTCTCTCTCTCTCTCCCTCCCGCTCTATCTGAACAACAACAACAAAAAAAAAAACGGAAAAATGTCCTCGGGTGAGGATAAAAAAAAAAAATCAATGGCAAAAGATCCTTGAGTGAGGATTAACAGAAAAAAAAAATTTATCCCTAGACCAAAACAAATTTTCTTAAGTTCTATAGCATACACAGCATGTAACAATTTGCCTTCTAAATAGAATCTTAGAAAAAAATTCAATTTTGGAATGAGCAGCTGTGGGAATGACATTTCTTTATTCCCTCCTTTCCTCCACTGATCATTGTTTTGAAGTAATTACAAATGATCTCTAGTGATAAAGTTAAAGGTGGTTTTTTTTTTATTTTTGTATATATATATATTTTTAAATCTTTATTGTAGAATGTATTACAGATGTTCCTCATTTTTTCCCCATTGACCCCCTCCTCCCCACTCCTGCCCCCCTCCCGCCTTTTCGCACACTATTGTCTGTGTCCGTTAGTTATACATATAAGTTCTTTGGTTTATTTCCCCCCCCCACAACCCCTTTCCCTTTGAGGTTTGTCAGTCTAGCAATGAATTTGTACTTCTTAATCCCTTCACCTTTTTCACCCATTCCCCCAACCCCCCTCCCATCTAGCAGCCAACAAAATGTTCTCTGTATCTATGAGAATGTTTCTGTTCTGCCTGTTCATTTTGTTTGTAGATTCCATTGTCGATACATATGTATTCATTGCCATTTTGTTTGTTCATACATTTTATCTTTTTCTTCAAAAAGAGTATTCATTATTTCATATAATAACGGTTTGGTGGTGATGAACTCCTTTAACTTTTTCTTGTCTGGGAAAGTCTTTATATGGCCATCGATTCTAAATGACAGCTTTGCAGGATAGAGTAATCTTGGTTGTAGGTTCTTGCTTTTCATCACTCTGAATATTTCTTGCCACTCCCTTCTGGCCTGCAAAGTTTATTTTCAGAAATCAGCTGACAGCCTTATGGGAGCTACCTTGTACGTAACTAACTGCTTTTCTCTTGCTGCTTTTAAGATTCTTTCTTTGTCTTGAACCTTTTGCATTTTACTGATGATGTGTCTTGGTGTGGGCCTCTTGGGGTTCATCTTGTTTGGGACTCTCTGTGCTTCCTGGACTTGTATGTCTGTTTCCTTCACCAAGTTAGGACAGTTTTCTGCCATTATTGTTTCAAACAGGTTTTCGATTTCTTGTTCTCTTTTCCTTCTGGCACCCCCAAGATGCGAATGTTGGTGCACTTGAAGTTGTCCCAAAGGCTCCTTACACTATCCTCATTTTTTTTGGCTTCTTTTTTCTTTTTGCTGTTCTGATTGGGCGTTTTTTGCTTCCTTATATTCCAAATCAATGGTTTGCCTCTTGGATTTACGTACTCTACTATTGAATCTGTGTAAATTATTCTTTATTTCAGTTAATGCCTCATTCATTTCTGACTGTGCATCCTTCATTTCTGACTGGTCCTTTTTTATGCTCTTGAGGCCCTCACTAAGTTCACTGAGGTTCTCACTTAGTTCATTGAGCATCCTTATAAGCAGTATTTTGAACTCAGCATCTGTTAGGTTGCTTATCTCCATTTTGCTTAGTTCTTTTCTTGGGGTTTTGTTCTGTTCTTTCATTTGGGACCTGTTTCTTTGTCTCCTCATTTTGGCTGCCTCCCTGTGTTTGTTTCTGTGTATTACTTAATGAGAGGTATGGGGCTATCTGAGACCAGATGCTGCTTGTTTGAAAGAATTTAGGAAAACCTGAAGCAGGATCCCAGATCGGCCAATCCTATGATTAAACAACTGGCAACAGCTTGGGTGGGCCTGATAGTTGGGTGGGGCGGGGCCTCAGGGAATCACCAGGGCGGGGCTACCAGTGTGAGCCAGGTTGCTGGAGTCCCAGATATGGGGGCTGTCTGCCGCCCCAGGGAAGGGCTCACCAAAGGAGCAAAGGCCTCTGACAGCACGTTTGTCCCTGAGGAAGCCCCCTCTCCAGCCCTCGCTCCAGTGCCAAACAGCTCAGTTCTTCCCTGTATGTCTCTGGTGCCCCTCGAGCTGCTTCCCCTCTGAGCTTAGAGGGAGAGAGTCCGATAAGTCCGTGTGCGGGCCCTTTAAGGAGCTGCCTGGGGCTCCAGCCGCCTCAGCCTCCCTGAGCCTCAGTTCCCGTTGGTTTTTCCAGTCAGAAATTATGGGGATTCCCTTCCTGGCACTGGAACCCTGAGCTGGAGGCCTGGTGTGGGACGGGGACCCCTCAGTCCTCAGGGAGGATTTTCCCAGCCAAGGTACCCTCCTGATTTTTATCTGCCACACGTGGGTGTGGGACCAGCCTGTCGGCCTCCGCCCTCGTACCAGTCTCCATGTGGCTGCTTCTTTAATTCCACAGTTGTAGGGCTTCCATTCAGCTCAATGTCAGGCGGTTCTGAAGGATGGTTGTTCTGTAGTTTAGTTGTAACTTTGATGTGGTTGTGGGAGGACGCGGTACCGCATTTACCTACCCGCCGTCTTGACCGGAAGTCCCTAAAGGTGATTCTTGAAGTGGACCTTACATTAGGACCTAGTTCTACTCTAGTTTGGAAGGAGACAGTTAAACCTGGGAAACACTTGGCAAATTCAGGTAGTGCAGATTTTTTCCTTCTCTTGGAGGATATTTTTATTTTATTTTATTTTATTTTATTTTTTTAATTTAGTCTTGTTACAGACATTTCTCCCCTCCCCCAATGACACCCTCCTTCCAATCCCCCCTCCCAGCATTATTGTCTAGGCCCTTGTTTACGAATATGTGCATATAAGTTCTGTGGTTTACCTCTTTCCTCTTGGAGGGTAATTTTATTCATTTCGATGTAAGGAAATATTGGGAATCTTCCCATATGTATTTGAAGGAGGAAGATATGGAGAAGGAAGCCAGTGAGATGCTTTCATATGAGGGGTGGTGTGGGTGAAATTTGCTCCATTTGAAATGATCCCTCTTGGCCTTAGCACCCAAACTGAATTTGATTGTTTTTTGTTTGTTTTGTTTTGAATTTATAGGAAAGATTCCATATATCGGTTTGTAGTGGGTTTTGCTTGGCTGGGTTTTTATTTCACATCTGTACTTTTTAAATGTGTTTTTAAACCTTTTAAAATTCATATTTATTTTAATTCTTACCTTTTATGTTTAATGGGAAATAAAAAATGACTGTGCAAGAGGGACTAATATAAAGTTAGTTCACATCCTGGGTAGCTGAGCTGGAAGTCTTTCCCTTGTCTAACTACTCTTACAGGACTCTTCCATGTGCCAAATCATATCTACTGTGTTGTCTCCTGATAAAGTACTTAACATTTAACTTTTTTTTTAGAAGAGGATGATGGCCCTAGGTTCAAAATTACCTTCTTAGGAGATAACCAAGCTAAATTACTCAAAGCAATAACCACTAGAAACAGTTCAGGGGAATATGGTTGGAATAATACCTATTATCTTGGTTCTAAAATAATTCATAGCCGCTGTGCAGAGATTCATGGCCCTGAATGGGAGATGTATATTACTAATGTTTCATAAGGTGAAGATCAATTTCCTATCAAAGTAGCTCATCTTTAAGTTAATATTGATGGGAGATACACAACCTGATGGTCTTCTGAATTCTTTATTCTATAGGAGCTAGAGCTTCTCCATAGTAGGACAGTGATGGACAGTAAGACATGATACCATGTTTAAGATCAATGGGCGTTGCCCTGGCTGGTTTGGCTCAGCAGTTAAAGCGTCGGCCTGTGGTCCAGAGAGACCCGGGTTCGGTTCCCGCTGAGGGCACGTACCTCGGTTGCAGTTTGTCCCCGGCCCTGGTTGGGTCGTGCGGGTGGCAGCCACTCGGTGTGTCCCTTTCAAGTTGATGTCTCTCTCTCTCTCTCTCTCTTCCTCCCACTCTATCTGAACAAAATATTGAAAAATGTCCTCTGGTGAGGATAAAAGGAAAAAAAAAAAAGATCAATGGGCTTTGAGTCAGAGTCCAATCTTGACTTTGAAACTTACAAGCTGGGTGATCTTGAGCATGTCACTTTACTATGAGCCTCAGTTTTATCATCTTTTTAAAAATTATTTTTTTTTTATCCTCACCCAAGGACATTTTTCCATTTATTGTTCAGGTAGAGTGGGAGGGAGAGAGAGGAACAGAGAGAGAGAGAAACATCGATGTGAAAGGGACACATCGAGTGGCTGCCACCCGCACGACCGACCAGGGCCGGGGACAAACTGCAACCGAGGTACATGTCCTTAGCGGGAACCGAACCTGGTCTCTGGACAGCAGGTTGACGCTCTAACTGCTGAGCCAAACCAGCCAGGGCTGTTTTATCATCTTTAAATGAGACTAACAATTTGTGCTTTATCTACTTCCAAGGATGTGGTGAGGATAAAATAAGATAATAGATATAGAAGTGCTTTGAAAAATAGTAAAGTACATATAAATGGATGTTGCTGTTTTTAGGAGCACAGCTAGTTTCCTTGATATGTAGCTTTTATTTATTTTTTAAATCCTCAGTGGAAGACATTTTTTTCCCCATTTATCTTCAGCTAGAGTGGGAAAGAGAGAGAGAGAGAGGGACAGAGAGAGAAACAGAGAAACATCGATAGGAGAAGACCTTGACCAAGGCCGGGGACTGAACCGCAACCAAGGTACGTGCCCTTGATCGGAATTGAACCCACGATTCTTTGGTCTGCGGGTCAACACTCTAACCAGGTGGAAGAGGGTATAAGGGGGGATAAATGATGATGAAAAACATTTAAATGGAATAAAGAAAAAAATGGCAATGTTTACATTTCATTTTAAGGCAGACTCAATTTACACTGAGAAAGCCATCTCTAAACCGCACCGAAGTGCTCTCTGGCTGGAGAAACTGCAAAGAAGCATTTCTCTGAACTGTCAGTGCCTGTTTCCTTATGAGGGCAAGCCGCGACAGGTCTCTTTGTCTTTTGCTCATCTGTCTGGCATGAGCCAATGTATTGTGGAGAATAAATGAGGGTATAAGAAAGGTTCACCCCTGATAGTGCTTGTGAATACTGACACATTTCTGGTGATTGATTCATGTCCAAATATTATCTTTCAAGAGTTAAAAAAAAAACATGGCACCTGGCTGGCACTTTGGCATTTGATTATTGGTTGACTAGGAGGGCAAATGGTAGAATGTGTACAAAGTAATATTGTTTACTCAGTTACGAGAGTAACGAATATTTCTTAAACAGTAACCTCCTGTGTTAAGGGCCAAGTAAAGTCTGTAGTGAAGTCAAGGCTGACACTTTGCTTAATGAATTGGATGCAGTAGATTTTCTTAACTTTCAGGGTAGTAGCTCAGTATATGAATAAAATGCCAAACATATAGAAACCTGAGCAATAGCTAAACTGTGGAAAGAGGCCAACAAAGAAGCACCAAGTAGGTGAAGTATTTTTTATTTGGGGAAAATACATCGATGACAAAACTTCATTTCTGCTTATACTTTTGTGTCTCTGAGTTGAAGATTTTGATATTTATTATATAATTCCTGGCTCTTAAAGTTATTAATTATCTGAATTGATTAAGCAAGTGGAAGGGAGAATGGAAAGCACATATCACTATAATTTTCTACACTATATTTTCTATACTACTAGGGATGAATCACTATTTAACAATGTCAATATTCTCAGCTACTTAGGTGCTCATTGCCTTACCTTTCTCCTTTTATTCTCCAGTTTATTATAATCCATAGTCTGGTCACAGGATTCATGTTCTTTCCCTACTGTTTTACCTCTCTACCTAAGGTGAGATATTCCTGTTGTACAGGCTCTTGTGTAATTCCTGAAACAATAACTATGAGCTCTGCCAACATCTGTCTTTTGCTATTCAGGTTCAGGTTGGGCAATCTTTTTCATGGAAGGTTATGATGTTTTAGTAATTATTCTAGAGCTGTGTGGAGGGAATGTCTTCTGGACATCATTAGCATGAAAAACAACATATTTCATGATATTGCTGCCAGACCCTGTACACATATGTAAACTGAAAATCTACCTTCAATTCTTTAGGAAATAGATGGGTTATGCTTGATATCTTCAAGTAGAAAAAAGATGGAGGTAGGATTTCTTTAGATTGCATTATAATTATTGGAATCATATTTTGAAAGCTGGAGTACTTTGAAGTTGATTTTGGCAATGAGCCAGTAAAGCAAGTAATAGAGCCAGTATTAGAAACCAGCATTGGTTATACAAAGTTCAAATAAGAATCCTCATTTCATTCTGGTCACATGTGAAGATGAGTCAACATATCTTTCTTTCCCTGTAGTAATTTTGCAACTCTCCTTTGAATAGGAACTACAAAGTATTCTCTAACAAAGAGGGAGTACTTTGTTACCCTTTTTCTTAAGAAACTAAGGATGTAAAATTTGTTTCAACATTTGTCAAGTTATAATTGGCAAAATGTAAATTTTTAAAACTTGACTAGAGAAGTACATTATAAAGAATCAGTAAGAGTCAAGAAGTTAGGTTCCTGAAGACCTTAAAAAGATTCTCATATATGACAGAAACTTGTTTAATGGGAATCTTTAAATAACAGCCTCCCGAATCTCAGAATATTCAACATGGGAAACTTGCCTTTGGTGCCTTCCCTTCTGGTTATTTCCATATTAGCTATTTCAAAATGTAAAAAACAAACAAACAAACAAACATAAAACAAAGATAAAGTTAACAATGTCACAGACTGAAGTAGCCAGTCTTTTTTTTTTTCCTTGCGGGGTGGGGAATTCAGGAGTTTTTAACTTACTCTCCAATATTTGATGAAATAGCTGAAGACCGTTGTAGCAATGTACAGGCAGTATAGAACAGAATAACCTAAGAACTGAAGGAAGAATTTATAGTTGGAAAATCCAATGCAATTATTAACCCTAAAAAAAAAGAAAAACTAATTTGAAATCAGGACCCATGTATTGAAAACACACTGATACATAAGTGAATTAAGCAATGGAAGTATGTTGCTCCTGCTGTTTCATTATATGTTGTGTAGGAACTCAATAGAAATAAAAGACCCATAAGAGGAATAGACTGGAAAAACAAGTTCTTGTCTCACTTGTTCCTCCTTTCATTCACAGGCACAGAGACACCTGGCCAATCTAATTGTTCTGAACTTATTCCTGACACACCTAAGCAAACATAGATCCTGGATGCTTAAAACCTATTAAAACCTCAGCAACTACATTTAGTACAGTGTGGCATGTTCTCTTTGTAGTTAGATGATTTCAAACTGGTTCTCTAGATCAGACATAGAAAATTTGGAGAATTGATGAAGTTAACAATCTAGAGTATTCAACCATCAAGGCAGTAAAAAAAAAAATAAGGAAAAATAACTGATAGTATAATGTCAAAGAGAAGAACTATTTGTGCTCTATTTCATATCTGTGAATAAATAGCTAAAGCTAATAGACAAGAGATCATTAGCTTTGTGATGCCAAGAATTCACTACTGCCTTTGGTGGTATATTTATTCTCGCTTTAAAATGGTAAGCCCCCTTTCCCTCAGACAAATAAAAAGCCCAGTGAATAGCAGAAACAGGCATGTTACAACTATACTTAGTAAAGTAGACATATTGAGCAATTTCTACCCTTTTTGTAGGAAAGATTAAAATAAAAGGGACTTACCAAGGGCAGTGATGGTCCATTTTTAAAACACACCTGAAAAAGGAGCAAAATACACTGTGATAAGTAGGGCTATGGAAATGAAGCAACACCTCGTAATTGAACCCAAGTCTCACCAGTACTTTACATGGTACCAGTACATTCATTCCTAGATTTCCACAATAGCTACTCTAAAACTATTGTGTTCTCAGTTATCCTAAGTATTAGCCAATCACAACAATTTTTAGGATCATGTTGGCAACAAATTACCTGCCTGAAAGTTCAATCTTTAAAAGGGATTGGGGATTCTAGGAATCTGAAACCGAGAAAAGGTCTAAGACATCACCCTTCATTTTGCTTAATACTCAATTTACTAAAAGTACAGAAGAAAACATATGGCTACAGTTTGTGTTTGAATCGAGGGTAAGATAAAGACAGGTGGAACAAGCACCCAAAAAGAAAGTATAAAGATTATACTTATTAACATAAAAATGGGATTTTACAAAGCTGAACAATTAGAGTAACAAAACAAAGTAGTACTGAGTTATAACACAAAATATAAAATTATTTTTCATATATACCTAAATACTGATATAAATAAATAAATAAGAATAGATAAATATCCCATGCAGAAGAATTCAAAATAACTTATATAAATATTATTCTGCTTTCAAGGAAGGTGAGTACAACACCTCGATTCTTTAGTGTTGGCTACACATAATAACTTCCTTCCAAAGGGCGCAGTGTAGAAATGGGGAGAGAGCAACTTGATAGTTGAGAAATCTGACAAACACTACCTCAGCCAGATGATCAATAGTAACATCGCAGTGATAAGTCATGTTGATATGATGGAACGAGAAAGGCACTTTATCTCTATGGTCTTCCTCCCCAAACACATTACCCCAGTCTAATCTTGAGAAAAATATCAGAAAAATCCCAGCTGAAATATATTCTACAAAATACCTGACAATTCTAAAAGCTATTAAGGTTATATTTTAAAAAGTAAAGTATGAGAAACTATCACATCTAGGAAGAGCTTAAAAAGACATGACAAAAATGTAATGTGCTGTCTTGAATGGAATCTTGGAACAAAAAAGAACATTAGGGGAAAACTGAGGAAATGTAAGTTGAGTATAGATTTCAGTCCAAAATGATGTATTTGTTCTTTCATGGTAACAAGTTAACCATATTAATATAAGATGTTAATAATCAGGAACTGGGTGTGGGTGACATGAGATCTTTACAATAATTCTATTGATCTAAAACTGTTGTAAAATAAAATGTTTATTTTTAAAATGGGGTTTTATTTTTCTTTCCTATCCTTAGAATAGTTCGAATCATCATCCCGGTGAGTATGTTTGGCATGTGTTCATTATCATTGAAAGGAAATGCTCATATCTAGGAATGATTATATGTCATGATCAGTCACATTGTTGTCTTGGCAACCATCAGTGGCCAAGCTAATCCAGGGGAAATATGACTGTCACTTACATAGCACAGACAGAGCAGTGATGGCAGCGATCTGGCTTGATCAAATGGCACCGGTCACAGAATCTTACAGCTACAGGAAAAATAAGGTGGTTAGCACCGATCAGGGCTCAATATGATATCATATATCTTCCTAGTCTATCTGAATGGCTTGCTATACATTGATTATAGGTAGTCAAAATCATTTCAAGTTATCAAGCAAAAGGCAGATTGCATAAGAGAACTGTGGAATGTATGTTTTTCCTGTCGTATCAATTTTTTTTTTCAGATTCAAGCAAGAGTTCATTTCGAAAGTCACAGAAGTAGAAAAAGTGAGCCAGCTGGGCTACGAGGGCTCAGGCGAAAGAAGGTCCCTTGGAGCTTAGGGAAGAGAGAGCACCCAAAGGTATGTGACTTGAGGGAAGAAGATGGGGGAAGGGGCCAGCATCCTCCAGAGAGAGAGAAAGAGACAGAGAGACAGAGATAGACAGAGAGACCGTCTAAGCTGGCTCTGGGAAAAGTAGGTGGTGGGAAAGGTTCAGGCATACTCAAAGGAGAGAGAAAGAGTGCACCCTGTTGTATCAATCTTGAAAGTACCATTTGGGGAATGAAGGTAAGGGGGAAATTTTTCATATCTTAGCATTTGATATGATACCTAATCATAAAATTTTGCATAATAAAACAAACTGTACTGTCAAATGCCTGAGTGACCTTGGGAAAATCATTTAGCCTGTGTTTACTTCAAGTCTCGTATCTGAAAACTAAGATCCGTATTTTATCTTCTGTTTTCAGAGGTTTTATTCTATGAGGTAGATAAAAATTACCAAAGCATGGTAAGTATAGTGGCTTTTATAATAATTGAAGAATGGAAGAAACATTCTAGAGAAAGTTCAAGTGACCACTTCACAGAAAGGAAGTAAAAAATCTAAGTGAATTCTACAATGTCACACAATGAGAGAGTGGCAGGGCTGTGACCACAAGTTCACGGTTCTCTTCACTCTGTAAGTCTCATGTAAAAAAAGTAATTTCTCCCTCCTTCTATCCTTTCTTACTTTATTTACCTTAGATGAGAGGCATTCCTTTTTTTTCAATTAAAAAAGTTTTTCAATTCCTTTTTTTTAAATCCTCACCAGAGGACACTTTTCCATTTTTGTTCAGATAGAGTGGGAGGGAGAGAGGGAGGGAGGGAGAGGGAGAGGGAGAGAGAGAGAGAGAGAAACATCAACATGAAAGGGACACATCGTGTGTGGCTGCCTTGAACACAACCCCAACCAGGGCCACGGACGAATCACAAAGGAGGTACAAAGTGAGTGCCTTTGACCGGAATCAAACCTGGGACTCATTGGTCTGCAGGCTGATGCTCCAACCACTGAGCCAAACTGACCAGGGCTTCAACTACATTTGACATACAATATTATATTAGTTTCAAGTATACAATATGGTGATCAGATATTTATATACCTCACAAAGAGAATACTTTGATAATTCTAGTACCCAAATGAAACCATACATAGTTATTACAACATAATTCATTATATCCCCCTATGCTGTACTTTAAAACCCATGACTACATCTTAACCCCTTCCCCTTCTTCCATTGCCCCAAACCCTCCTCCGATCTGGCAACCATCAAAATGTACTCTGGATCTATAAGTTTGTTTCTGTTTTGTTTGTTTATTTTGTTTTTAAATTCCACATACAAGTGAAATCTTAAGGTTTTTCTGTTTTTTAAAAAATAATTTTTCTTTTATTGATTTGAGAGAGAAAGAAAGGGAGAGGGAAAGAGATAGAGATACTGATGAGAGACAACATCAACTGGTCACCTCCTGCACACTCCCAACTGGGGAGCAGGCCCACAACCTGGGCATGTGCCCTGACCAGGAATCATACTGGCAACCTCTTGGTGCAGGGGTTGACGCTCAACCACTGAGCCACACCGGCTGGACAGTATTTGTCTTTCCGACTGACTTATTCTGACTGACTCATAATACCCTGTACATACGTCCATGTTGTCACAAATGGTAAGATTTCAATTTTTACGGATGAGTTATATTCCATTATACAAATGAACCACATCTTCTTTACCCATTCGTCCATCAATGGACATGTAGGTTGCTTCCATATCTTGGCTATTGTAAATAATGCTGCGATAAGACATAAGGATGCATATGTCTTTTCAAAAAAGCTTTTTCCTTTCCTTCTCATTTTCTCTGTGTTCATTGATAGAGTATAACTATGTTTAATGACATTAAGTGTAACAACTAAAATTATGAATAATTTCATCTAATATAGAAACCCATCCAAAATTTACATTAAGCACACATAACTGATTCAACATAATACGATTGCTAATTCAGTACAGTTTGTGTTCATTTCCAACAGTGGGGAGTAACCAAATCTGGTATAATTGAGGAAAGATAAAGGGTACTTGCTTGTTTGGGTCTTTCAGCATGTTTTATTTTATTTTTTAATTAAATTTATTAGGATGACATTGGTTAATAAGGTTATAGAGGTTTCAAGTGTACTTTTCAATGATACAGACTCTTATATTGCATTGTGTGCCTACCACCCAAAGTCAATCATTTTCTGTCACCATGTATTTGGAACTCTTTACCCTTTACTACACCCTACACCCTTCCCTCTGATAACCATCATACTGTTGTCTATGAGTTTCAGTATTATCCCACAAGTGAGTGAAATCATAAGGGTCTTAGTTTATTCCAACTGACTTATTTTGCTTAGCATAATATTCTCAAGGTCCACCCATGTTGTCACAATGGCAGTATTTCATCTTTTCTTATGGCTGAGTAGTATTCCATTGTGTACATGTAACACGTCTTCTTCATCCAGTCCTCTGTCACAGGACACTTTTGTTGTCTCCATGTCTGAGCCACTGTGAATAATGCAGTAATGAACATGGGAGGGGGGCATATATATTAATGAATAAATGTTTTCAAAATTTTGGGGTAGATATCTAGGACAGGTTTGCTGGGTCATATGGTAACTTCATTCTTATCATTTGAGGAAGCTCCATACTGTTTTCCATAGTGGCTTTCCTAGTTTGCATTCCCACCAGCAGGGAATGAGGGTTCCTTTTCTTCCACAACCTCTCCAACACCTGTTATTACTTGTCTTGTTGATAACAGCCATTCTACCAGGTGTGAGGGGGAATCTCATTGTAGTTTTGATTTGCATTTCCCTAATAGCTACAAAGTTGAGCATCTTTTCATATATCTGTTGGCCGTTTGTATGTATGTCTTCTTGGGATAAGTGTCTGTTCAGGTTCTCTGCCCATTTTTAAAATAGGATTGTTTATTTGGTATTGAGTTGCATGAGTTCCTTTTATATTTTGGATAGCAAACCCTTATCAGAGATTATGTTTGCGAATATCTTCTCCCACTTGGTTGATTGGTATTTTTGTTTTGTTGGTGGTTTCTTTTGATGTGCAGAAGCCTTTTAGTTTGATATAGTCCCGTTTATTTATTTTTGCCTTTACTTTCCTTGCCTTTGGAGTCAAATTCATAAAATCTTTTGTAAGACCTAGATTCATAATTTTAGTACCTATGTTTTCTTCTATGTTATTTATGGTTTCTGATCTTATATTTAGGTATTTGATCCATTTTGAATTGATTTTTGTAAATGGGGACAAACTCTAATATCATTTTTTTTTGCTTTCATCCCCCTTCTCTTAAAAAAAATTTATTGTTGAGAGTATTACAGATGTCCCCCATTGTTTTCCCATTGTGCCCATCTTCCCAGTTCCCATCCCACCCCAGGCCTTCACCATTCGATTATCTGTATCCCAAATTGAACAGCTACATGCAAAAAAATGAAACTAGACCATCAATTTACACCATACACAAGAATGAACTCAAAATGGATAAAAGATTGAAATGTAAGTCGTGAAACAATAAAAATCCTATAAGAAAACATATGAAGAAAAATATCATACATCACACATAGCAGAATTTTCACCGATACATCACCTAGATCAAGAGGAACAAAGACAAAAATAAACAAATGGGAGTAAATCAAACTAAAAAGATTCTGCAGCCCAGCCAGGTGTGGCTCAGTTGTTGAGCATCAACCCATGCACCAGGAGGTCACTGGTTCAATTCCCAGTCAGGGCACATGCCTAGGTTGTGGGCCTATTCCCAATGGGGGCGTACAGAAGGAGGCCGATTAATATTATTTTCTCTCATTGATGTTTCTATCTCCCTCTCCCTCTCCCTTCCTCTTTCTCTAAAATCAATAAAGAAAAAAAATTAAATTAAAAAAAAAAAAAAGATTCTGCAGAACAAACGAAACCAGTATCAAAATAAATAGGGAACCCACTGTTTGGGAGAACATATTTGCCAATGATACATCTGATAAGGGATTAATTTCCAAAATATATAGTTTCATTATTCTACAAGTGGCTTTTCAATTTTCCCGGCACTATTTATTGAAGAGGCTTCCTTTTCTTCATTGTAGGTTTATGCCTCCTTTGTTAAAAATTTATTTGCCCATATACATGTGGTTTTATTTCTTGGCTCTCAATTCTGTTCCATTGATCTGTGTGTCTGTTTTTCTGCCTTACCATGCTTTTTAAAATTATTGTTACTCTGTAGTATAATTTGAAGTTAGATAGTGTGATACTTCTGGCTTTGTTCTTTTTTCTGAGGATTGCTTTGATTATTCAATGTCTTTTATGGTTTCATATAAATCTGATTTTGTTTGTTCTAGTTCTTTAAAAAATGTCCTTGAGATTTTAAAGGAGATTGAATCAAATTTTTACATTGCTTTGGGTAATAGGCACATTTTAACTATGTTTATTCTTCTAATCCATGAACACGGAATATCTTTCCATTTCATTTTGTCTTCTCCACCTCTTTTAATAATGCTTTGCAATTTTCAGTATATAGATCCTTCACCTCCTTTGTTAAGTTGATTCCTAGGTATTTTATTATTTTTTTGCAATTGCAAAAGGAACTGTTTTTTTTTTTCTTCATTTCTTTTTCTGAAATTTCATTGTTAATATATAGGAATGCAGTGGATTTTTGTACATTGATTTTTGTATCCTGCTGGAGAAAGAAAGAAAAAGCATCCAAATTTG